TGCAGTACTCAAATCCAACCAGAAAGTGGTTGATTACTCTTCGAACATTCATGCCACTATTGTGTTCGTGGGCCTATCTTGTCAGGCCAGTCCTGATAGTAGCTTGCAGAATTTGTAGCTGGGTGAGACTACTGATGACTTTTCTCCCCTGTGGCATGCATATTATTTTTAAGCACTAAGAAAGCTAGCTAGTAGTTGATGCTTTAAGGTCAGTGCAAGCTTAGTTTCTCCACATCCTATGAATCAAGTATATATGTGGTGTCTTCAGCTATAATTTTACCATTAAGTTCTGTATGATAACCAGAGCAATGGCAATAGCCTATAATGCTTCAAGGAGGAGTCTATCAGATCCTACTGATCAACAACTTATAAAGAAGTAACCCCTACTTCCCAAAGGGCTTTTATGACATCTACGTGTAGAATTATAGCCCCATTCCCAGTATATGCTAAGCCCTTTTAACTTGTTTTACGTATGCAAATCTATATAATTCGGGAACTTCTATAGTAGAGGGTCTCCACAAGTGTTATCCCCTCCCCATATTCCCTCCTTTACCGTGCCCTACCACACCCACCCCATTTAATCCTTTCTGTGTCATTGTTCTCTTTCCCCCACTGGATTCTACCCCAATCCCAGAGATCTCCTATGGCCCTTTACTAAAGCCCTGACTTTTATGGGCACTCTAATGTGAACACACAATTATCTAAAGATTAAAAGCTAGCATCCACTTGTGGAAAAGAACATCCAACATTTGTGTTTATGGGTCTGGGTTACTTCACTTGGAATAATTATTTCCAAGTCCATCCATTTAACTGTAAATTTCATTTTTATTTATAGCTGAATAATATTCCATTGTGTGAATAAGACATTTTCATTATCCATTTATCAGTTGATTAGCAGCTAGGCTGTTTCCACTGCCTGGATATCATTAATGGAGCAGCAGTGAATATTTATAAATAAGCATTTCTATAGTTATTATAGTACAGTAGGACATAAGAGTCCTGTGGGAATATGCCTAGGAATGGTATAACTGCATAATGTGGTCGGTCTGTCTTTAGCTTTTTGAGGAACATCCATGCTGATTTTCTTAGTAATTTCACCGGTTTTCAATCCTAGCAAGGATGAATCTGAAAAGAATTATGCTCAGTGAAAGAAGTCAGAAACTGTGTACATGTGAGTTCCTGTACCTAACCTTCTCAGTAAACATAAATTGATCTGAAGTAACGGAGAGCAAAATCAGTGCTTGACTGAAAGAAAGGACACAAAAAAGAAGCCCAAGGGAAGCATGACAAGCAGCCTTGAAGAAACAGCTCGTGGCAGTGATCTGCCCCATCATGACAGGGAAGCAGAGGCAAAAGGAAGGTGAAGCAGTAGGTTCCATCGCATCTGTAGTCAAGAAGCAGAGAGCGATGTGCACAGGATTCCTGGCACTCAGATCACTCTCCCTCCATAGACAGTCCAGAATAGCCTGCCCAGGGGATGTTCCACCCTCAACTGAGATGGCTCTTTCCCCATCAGTTATTATAAGGTAACACCCCAAAGGCATGCCCAGAGGTTCAAGTCCTAGGTAACTGGAGGTTCTGTCAAGGTGACAACACTGACTTTTCATACTTGGGATCTTGCGTTGTCATAGTGGTTAGCTGTAGAGCCAGATGTGGTCCTGATAGTCTGTTTCCCAGTTTTAATAGTCTCTTTGCCTTCTCTTACAACTAATCTAATAGAGAGAGAACTGAGCAAACTTTTGGGTGAGTAGTGTTTAGATTTGTAAACAGAAAAGGGAACAGATGTTTTAAACCTCTTCTTTAAGTCCAACACACAGTTACCAAGTCCTTAGGAAGTTAGCTCATTGTGTTCATGTTTGCAAACATCTTCATGAGAATGTAAGTTCTGTGAGTTGTTTAGAGTCTGGCAACTAAAGATAAAAATTAATATGATTAAGTATCTGATAAGCAATGCTTCTAACACAGAGAGAATAAGAGTAGTTTGTTAAGAGAAGTCAGTGTACAATAGAAACTTACTGACGGGAATGTGGAAACAACCAGGGCATCCCACTGATGCCTTGGAGCAGGGGTGGGTAGTGTTTTCCAAATGTGCAGATACAGGCGATCACATCCTTGAAATGATGGAATCTATGAGGAGTCTGGCTAGCAAGCACCAGTGTGGTTCTCTGGAGGCACTGAGCAACCAGGATGTACCATAGTTGGAGTAGAGGCAGAGACAAGTGAAGAAAGATATTCTATCTATTCTCATCTTACTCTTCTCTGGGATTTTCCTTAGAGAAGCAAATACAAACAGATGCACATGTAAGCCATATCCTGTTCTCCAATTTGTGAGTTGTGTGGAATCTGGCTATGTTTGAAGAAGAGCTAAAACACAGAAAATTTAAGGAGTCTTCCCAGTTTTGCACAATGATTAGTGGACGTCAAGGGAGGCAGTTAATGCAGATAAAGTAAAGCACAGAACTGAGAGGAACTGGGCTCCAGTGTAGGCTTGGCCACTTTCCATCACTTGCCTGGGAGAAAATTATTTCCTAGTACTTTATCTGCAAAACAAAAGTACAAAGAATATGGGGAAGCACAGTGACAGTGGAAGAATTTGAATACGAGGATAAATGGATTTTAAATAATGAATGAATGATGGATAGATGGGATGGGACTATAGCTCACGAGTAGAGGGTTTTCCTAGTGGGAAGTCCTCAATTCAACACTTAGTACAAGAAAGAAGTGTGTGTGTGGGCGGGGGGATATATGAGCAGACTTCTGTCTGTGCATGATTGAAGATTTAATTTAGATAATATAAATAATCATATTTTTAACTACTACAGTTTTAAGGCTTCCAGGCAGCATATTTAATGTGGGGAATAAACACCTAAGGTGAGTTCATTCTTCCCGTGTAGCTCTATTTTGTGTATGTGTGTGGGTGCGTGAGCGTTTGTGTTTATTTGTGTACATGTTCCAGGACAACCTTTGTATCATTGTTCTAGTTCCATTTTTCTTTTTCAGTCACACTCTCTGGTGGGACTCAAACTCACTAAGTAGGGCTAGCCAGTGAGCGCCAGGAACCCACACTGTCTCTGCCTCACCTATGCTGAAGTTATGAGTGCCCTTCTAACTATTTTTAGATGGGTTCAGGATATTGCACTCAGGTCCCCGGGTCACTTTAATGACTGAGCTATCTCCACAGCCCCTTTCTTTCTTGTTGACATGGTCTTTCTATGTAGAACAAGCTGACCTTGGACTTCTGGTCTGTGTCCCAAGCATTGTGATTCCAGACCTTTGCCCACCATGATAAGCCTTGCTAATCTATTTATATTAGAGTGCATCTCATTTTTTAGCTTTTGAGTGGCTTAAGTCTCCCTTGTATTTTCCATTATTTTTTTAGATATTTCAGTCTTCCTGGAAAGAAAGATATAGTATCTGTGGCATCATACCTCATTAAGTCATTGCTTGTGTAGTGTTTTCAGGGAGAAATAAAATATGGCCATGATGATATTGGAGGATCTGGATGCATTTGTAAAACCTAAGGTCACCTGAGAATATACATGTGAAAACTCACTTAAATTTCACAGAAAAGGACAGATGTTGGGACATGCAGGCTTAATAATTCTTGTATCTCATTATGTGATGTTATACTTATTTGTTGCTTGGACACACGAAATAGTCTTGCACATCGCCTGACTGACAAGCTAAAAATGTGCAATCCTCCCGTAGACCCAATAATTCCATTCATCTAATCACTAATCGGAGGAAAAAAAAAAAGAACTGGTTAAGTTACCAAGAGCTATGGAATGAACCCTTTGAATACAACTAAAGTGAGAGCACGGAATCCTAACCACTAGACCACCAGGGAAACTATGAATGGAACTAAAGAGGAAGGGAAAGATTACAGAGCAGTTTCAACCAAACAAGATAAATGGAGAGATGCTGTTTCCTGTTCATCTGGTGTAAACAAGGAAGCTGTCCCACTGGCCTGGGCACAACCTACATGTCCCAAGGCCACAGTCCTTTCTTCCCTTGCATTTTCCCTACGGGAGAATTCTTCATCATAAAAGAAAGAAACTCGGTATGAATTCTTTCCAGAAATGATTTGAGATTCGCGTTTGTGACATCTTATTATAAGACGAGCTAACATCTATTATTAATTGATGCACTAATTAAAGCCATACTCGCAGTTTCCATTAGCTTATTCCCTAAGTTCTCCAGAGTTGGCTGTCTGGTTTTAATCAAAACCAAATGGTAGTCCAAGCTCCCAGTGTGGAGCAAGCTAGGAGGAAGTCATTCAGTTGGAGGCACCAAAGCAGAAAAGATAAACAGATGAGAGTTCACAAACTGTGTGTCTGCAGAAGGATGCGCACTCTGCTAGCCACTTTAGCGATGTGATTGGGGGACTCGGCCGTGCAGGAGGACTCATCGCAAGTGTTTAATGTCAGCACAACTCCAACATGATCAAGATGGAGTCTGCCTTCTGCCTTTCCAGCCGTGGCTGTCTGTAACTGGAGGATCCCGACTGTAGACTGTAGGTAAGGCCACATGTGCTGAAACACAAACCACTGTGTTCTGAGAAGATTTCTGGGGATGGAAGGGAAGAGGAAAACACTCTATCTCCAAGATTCTCGGGATTTTATGTACAGATTTTCTCAAGTCCAGGATGTAAAGTTTGTCATTTTTTAAAGGTTCTAAACTTTAGAAGAATTACGGTATTAAAAACTCCGAATTCTTCTAACTGTCCTAAAAAAAACTTTTGAAATGAGAGTTAACAGAAGTGTTTTGATCCCCATTTAACACAGTGGAAAGGCTGTGGAAGGGAGAAATGCGATTTCTTTCTTCCTTGTTTTCCACGAGCCTTGTGGGATAGGAAGGAGTCTAGGACTTTCTGACGCTAGCTAATCATCTCAAGAGCTTTGACAAACTCACTTCAGTCCTGTGTAAAATCAGAGCTTCAACGCCCAGGCAGCTCTGCTCTGCCCCTCCCCTCAGCTTCGTGCAGGCTTTCTCACATGCAAACTTCTCAGAGGCAGGAAATACTTTGCAGGCAATCTGGGCCTGGTTGTGGAGGCCCCTCTCGCAAAACATCAGTCTGCATTTAGAAGACAGAAGTCACTAGGAACGCCTTGACGGGATCCGGCTTTAGCTGAGGCTCCCTCCAGCTGCAGAGGGTGTTTTTGTTAGAATCACCCACTGCCTGCGTAAGGAGAACTGCTTAGAATAGAGCTGTGACCTCAGCCACGAAATGTGAACTTAGATTTGGGGGACGCTAACGGGACGGACTCCTCTCCTACCCTGGCTGGAACAGCATCATGTCTTGGCAGCACAGAAACTCCAGGTCCAGGTAAGAGGCTGAGACTGTCATCTAGGAGGCAGAGCGGGAATCCTTGGCATCTTCAGCCAGCTGTTGACTGCTTTCAGAGCCGAGTCCAGAAAGCAGAAGGGGAAAATGTTTAATCCAGAGAAAGCTGTGAGTCAAGTCTTTTCAGTAAAATGTCATTTCTAAAATATGTTCCACATAGCTTGAATCTCTTTCCCCTTATAGAAATGTTTCATTTTGATTTCTTTTTATTCCTAACTTAGTGACCAAGCCATTTATAACGTTCTGCGTTGCCGATAAGTAGCACAGCTCGAGGTCAATGAATCTGCTCACGTTGAAGTGTGAAACTTTAGGGAACCCTTCCTCCTCTGTGTTTTCCCAACAAAAAGAGTACAAAACAACTAATAATTTGTTTCTTAATAACGAGCCTTCAAAGAATATCCTGTGTCTTCTAGAAAACTGTGAAGATCAAATTCTTTAACATTGCTCCCAACTAGTTTCAACTGCATATCCAGTTACTAATTAATTAATAGAAGTAATGACATGCAAATTTACCAATTATTTCTGTCTTTACATATTTAATGTCACTTTTGGAATTTAAATGTCAAAATCGGGTTTTGTTTACATTAAGCTTGAATCGCTGCTCAGATCTTAGGTTGTTACTCTCTGTGGGTAACCAAAGCCATCTGAATGGCAGTGTAACCCTGTCAGTCACGTGAAAACTTAAAAGTGACCATACATTCATCCTTCATGTCATCATGAAATCATTATCACCACACTTCAGTCTCCTAAATTGTCTTAATGGTTCAATGTGTGACCCATGGGTAAATAATTGTAGCAAGGATTGAAATAACGTAGAGTTATAATAACAAACATGATGTTACATTTCTGAATATTTAGAAGGAAATTACTTTGAAAACTTGTGTGGAAGGACAGTATGTAAAGAGAAAAAAAATCATGCCTATCTCTAAATCTCTGAAACAAACACAAAAGGAACTAAGTGAAAGATGGAGAGCAGTTTTGACAGCTGGACCCTAAGAAATCAATAAAGGTTTTAATCATAAACTTTTATAAAGTACAATTGACCTTTTGCTGTGTTAGCTAACTTAATTCCTAATTTCAGGCTAGAGTGATTTATATTTATGCCTTGACATTGTCACTAATAATTTAAGCTTTGTTAAGGCATTTAAAAAATGAGAAAAACACATTGTAATATGTTAGAAGTGAAATTCTAGGACTTAGGAGTATAGATCAGTGGTGGGGAGTGGTTTACCATGTGCAAGGCCCTGGGTTCAATTCACAGCACCAAGAAGGAAAAGGAATTTTGGCATATCTAAATTACTTAATAAAATAGCTGAGTAGAATGATAGGAATGATAGGAAAAGAATGGTCATTCAATATCACTATCTCTGGTATGTTAGAGATCAAGGAAGCTGAGGAATAACCTTCAGAACTATCCTGTCCAAAGTCATACTGCTGCCTAGTAGAGGAGATGGCAGGGAAACCATAGTCTCCTGCCTTATGTATTATGGTCATTATTCCACAGACCTTACTCTTAAAAAATAACTATGCGCAGCAAAGTATGATCTTGCCCATCCGATTGGAGGCTACTTTTCAGAAAGGGGATTGGAATTCTTCTTTTTAAAAATTCCAATTAGTTAATTAACAGTATTTCTCAATGGCTAAGATTTCTTAAAAGGATGCATTATGCTTTCATCTCAGACTTTAAAGTAGTGACTTGCTTATATGACTATTGTGGTAAATCTTATTCTTATGCCAAGCAAGTCAATCCATATGCTATAATGATACTCATTTAAGAATAGCATTTCTTTCAAGAAAATGACCTAATGAGAAACTTGTTCATTTCGTATTCTTATATTTTATATTTGAAGAGCATAATTAAAAAGTTATCCGCACCAATGACTTCTAGAAGAAATTTTACAATCCTTACTCCATTATAATTGTCTCAAGACTCTCATGAACCTTTCTATTATCTCAGTTAAATATCGCACTACAGCTTATTTCCAGTTCTAAGTGCCAATATCTATACGTCCATAAGAAAATGTAAGTGTGCATTCTATAACTTGTTTCTAACCTTTGCTCTCTATGTCTACTCCAAGACTTTAGTACAATGGTTCTCAGCCTTCCTAATTCTGCAGCACTTGAATAAAGTTCTCCACATTGTGGTGACCCCCAACCACAAAATCATTCTTGTTGCTACCATTGTGCATTATAATGTAAATATCTAATATGCCACCTCAGAGGGGTCATGTCACACAGGATGAGAACCACTGTTCTAGTAGTATAATACATGCCTCTTTTACATTATGTGACAGCTGACCAGTGCAGCATCAAATGGGAAGAGTGGCTAATTCCTCTACACCATACATCCCTTCTGGCAACATATATGTGCTGAAGCAGTGTGCTTTGCTAGAGAAAGCTTTCCCCATGAAACTAATATGTTCTGTTTCTAATGGGTGTCCTTTCCTTAGAGTGGTGGCTCTCAACCTTCCTAATGCTGCGACCCTTTAACACAGTTCCTCATCTTGTGGTAGCCTCCAATCATAAAACTATTTAATTGCTACTTCATAGCTGTACTTTTGCTGCTGTTATGAAGCATAATGTAAATATGTTAGATACTTATATTAAATATAAAGATGTGATATGCAGGATATCTAATCCCTGTGAAACGGCCGTGGAACCCCCAAAGGTGTTGAGACCCACAGGTTGAGAACCACTGCCTTCAAATAAATGTCATGGTGCTGTTGTACTTTTAGTTTGGGGGTTTCCTAATATTAACACCTACAATGTCAAAAACTTTCTCCCACAGCCATCGCAGCTCATTACAATAGCCTGGGTACCTTACTGCATGGTCACTAACGTCTAATGAACAGAGAATATTGCATATTTTTGTGTTCTGAAGAACCCTCCCATTTACAGAAAGCAAGCTGCCTTAGCACTTTGCAGACCTGTCCTTATCATATTTTTCTGCCAGTTCCTAAAGTAAGCTTAATTTTATTTACTGATAAGTAGATTCCTGGGCTTAAAACTAGTCTGAAATGGGTCATTTCTGAGATGTCTTATGTTTTTTATTTGTTTCTTCCTTAAAAGTGTAAAAACAGGCATTGTCTTGCAATGAGAAAACTCTTTTTATAACATTTTTAATATAGGAAGGTTTCAGGTAATAAGTGACCCATAGTTGACTCATAGGGTTTTGTTTTTAGCATAATGATCACCATTTCTGACTGTGGACAACTCTAACTCTTTTGGCTTTCAGGCATTTTTACCCACCAGATTATTCCTTCTGTAGCTCAGGAGAAGGGTCCCATCCCATTTACTTGTAATACCCTATGATCTCTGCTTTCCCTGAAATTCTTTGGGTTCCATATTTCATTTCCTCATCCCCCTCCTAGTCTAGCTGGATTGCAGAGTTAAGTTTACAATTTTGAGCAAAAACTAAATGAGAAAAAAAGAGTAAATATGAACAGCTATACAAAGGAGTAGTTCCTTAAAGCCAAAATGTTAAAGTAATCAAGCCTCAAATAAACGTCCCTCTTGATCAGCCATGAGGTATTATGGTACTGTCCATATTCTCTTATTGAAGCCTATCAGCTTAAGAGTTTTGAGAAGGACATGGACTTAGTTTTTTAAAAAAATTTACAAAATGAAGGCAAACTGTAGACATTGAAATCTGGCTTAAGGAGGTTGTTTTTACTCAATAGATTAAGTACTTGCATACATAACCTTGAAAATAATTGACAGGGAAGCAAATGCAAGGGCAAATTTTTAGCTACGAAGCAATACAGGAAGCCGAGGGATGAATGAGGAGTGGTAAGGACAGCAGCAGTTGGTTGCATGTTTCAGGCAGTTCCACTGGATGAAATCTCAAAGTGTTTTAGCAACACAATCCAGGTAAGTCAAAGAGAAATTGGAACTCCTAATAGCAGTGGCATAAAGGAGGAAGATAAGAGAGCATGTTTAGGGACTTTATTTCATTCTCAGCAACTAAAAATTATCTGAAACACAATAAGAATTGCCAATACCTGTTTGTCAGTAAGTTATGGAATGAATTGGGAACAAAGGGCAGAGAAGAGAAAAACAGGGTTGCAGAATGTTAATGTGTGAGAGTTGGACTTTTTTTACCCTATTCCCTGGACATCCTGAAATGTTAATGTGTGAGAGTTGGACTTTTACCCTATTCCCTGGACATCCTGAAATGATAGAGTAATACTTGTTAAAGGGGAAGAAAAATAAGTGGTTGGCAGGAGTCATCAGAAGTTGAGGCCAGAGGTTAACAACACTCTTATAAGAGGACATAACAATTCATTAAGAACCAGAGGCACAGGCTTCCACAAATAGTTTGAAACGAAAACTTGTGTGAGGCCAGCATGAGGGGAGCGAGTGGCTTTTCCAGTTTCCACAGGGCAGGATGCTGACAGAATCATAAAAGATTCAGAACACTAACTCTGACTCCATCTCTACCACTCGATGCTCCTGGATTTGAGTCACCATGACTCACATTTTGATCTAACACATCCATATTGAAATAACATGAGCTGGCAAGGGGTCATTCTAGTTCATACTCATCTATGATTCTGCAGCTGGAGGAATCCTCATGAAATCATCTCCTCCTCCTTCTCTCCCCTCATCAGCATCACTTTGCATCTAGTGGGTGCATGAAATATGCCTTAGGTTAAGTGTTCTATATATTCTTTTTTTTTGGCTTTTCAAGACAAGGTTTCTCTGTGTCACTTTGTAGACCAGGTTGGCCTCTAAATCACAGAGATCATCCTGCCTCTGCCTCCCGAGTTCTGGGATTAAAGCTGTGTACTAATTACCACCACCTGGTTCTATTTATTCCTTTAAATCATGTGACATTGAGTCATTATTACTTTCCTATCATTTTTTATGACTCTCATTGTAGATACAGGGAAACCAAGAGTCAAATGATTTAAGGAAGAAGTGAAATCTTCAAGGGAAAAGTATGCATTAATAGATATCTTGGGTGGGTAGGGATGGGAGTA